GTCTCAATCTCTTGACCTCGTGATCCACCGGTCTCGGCCTCCCAAAGTGCTGGGATTACAGGCGTGAGCCACCGCGCCCGGCCCCTTTTTCTTTTTTAAATGGAATTTCGCTCTTGTTGCCCAGGCTGGAGTGCAGTGGTGCAATCTCGGCTCACTGCAACTTTGGCCTCCTGGGTTCAAGTGATTCTCCTGCTTCAGGCTCCTGAGTAGCTTGGATAGATTACAGGCGTCCACCACCACACCTGGCTAATTTTTTTTGTACTTTTAGTACAGATGGGGTTTCACCATATTGGCCAGGCTAGTCTCGAACTTGGGGTTTCACCATATTGGCCAGGCTAGTCTCGAACTCGGGGTTTCACCATATTGGCCAAGCTCATCTCGAACTCGGGGTTTCACCATATTGGCCAGGCTAGTGTCAAACTCCTGACCTTAGGTGATCCACCCACCTCAGACTCCCAAAGTGCTAGGATTACAGGCGGGAGCCACCACACCCAGCCCAGTGTCGTATTTTAAATTAAACCTTTAGGAAATTGAGATTCTATGAAGTCTGTTTACTGGTAATGTCAAGAAAGTGGGGAGATGGAAGTCTCTCAAAACCTATTCTGATTCCAGAGGCCGCTCAATTCACAGAAGAGAGAGAGAGAGAAAAAGATAGCTAGATGGACAGATAGATAGATATATGTAGGGAAAAGAAATTAAGAACTAGAAATAAAGACTTTCAGCCCCAGAATTCTAGGCTGTGACTATTACACTGACAAAATAAAACTGCACACTGGTAGGATAAAGGTACTGGATTCGTGGCAGTGTTCCAGTACCGAGTTCTAAGCAAAACCGTGGGTAAACGATTTCAAAAGTGCGTATTTTATACACATACATGTTTTAGCTTTTGTAAAAGTTGCAGAATATAACACATAAAAAAACGAGTCTAAAATATCAATGTACAGCAGCAAAAAAATTCTCAACTACTACCCAGGCCATGAAAAAGCAGAACGCCTTCCAGAGTCCTTCCTGACATCCTCCCCATGCTCTGAACTCCTAAAATTACAATATTCTCATCTCCTTTTTTCTTTCATATGTATGTACATATACATATATACACACACACATATACATATGTATATATATTCACACACACACAGACACACTTTTTTTTTGAGACAAGGTCTCTTGCTCTGTCTCCTATGTTGGAGTGCAGTGGTGCGATCACAGCTCACAGCAGCCTCAACTTCCCAGGCTTAAGGGATCCCTGGCTAATTTTTTTAAATTATTTTTTTGTAGAGATGGGGTATTACAGCGTCACCAGAGCTGGTCTCAAGCAATCCTCCTGCGATGGCCTCCCAAAGTGCTGTGGGATTACAGGTGTGAGCCATCACGCCCAGCCTATATTTTTATTTATGCATGCATCTGAGAAGTTTCATAGAAATCTTTTCAAAAGGAAGTTTAGTGTGGTAGAAAGAGTGCAGATTTAGGAGTCAGAAAAAAACATTTTTAAAGGCCAGGCCTGCTGTTGACTAGCTGTGTGACCTTGGCAAGTCATCCCCTCCTCCAGGCCTTTTTCTCATCTGTACATGCAGATAAGACCGCCAGCAGGTTCCAGGATTGTCATAAGAATTCAACTCATGAACATTCAGATAACAAGTTTATTGAGACCTCCTGAGACTTAACCCCTGTAGAAAACAGAGATGAATCAAACCCAGTTCCCATTCTCAGGAAGCTCACAGTGTGAAAACAGGTAACTGCAAAACAACACAGCCAGGAAGTGCTTTGAGACAAGGAAGAACATAAAAAGGACTTAGCGTTGGAAAACCTGGAATCAAAAACTAAGCGCAGAGAAAGGTGGGAGGATGTTCTAGACTCCCAGAAAAAGCTTGGGAACATCCAGAAAGGCTCTTGCTGCCGACACAGCCACATCCGCCTAGGTCTCTGGAGTTCACTGCAGGCTGGCCCACTGCAGGGAGGTGTAGACCACCTTACCATCAGGCTGCGGAGAGCAGAGGAGCAGGGTCTTTCTGACGCTGGTTCCAAGGCGCCCAGCAGCAACCAGGTCCTGGAGTGGGATGGGGTCCTCGGGGGCCCAGCACTGAGCGATGTAGTGGGCGTGGAAGCGGAGTGGGTCACCTGGTGGGGACAGAGGCACTGAAGCAGTGGCCAATGGCAGGGGGTAGAAGCCACAGGAGTGACTGCTGGTGGGAGATGCGAGAGCATTTCAGCAACTCCTCTGGATGGTCTAAACCAGATAATGCTTGGACCAACTACTACACTTCTAGATTTTTTTTCTTTTAAAGACAGGGTTTCTTCACGTTGGCCAGGCTGGTCTTGAACTCCTGACCTCAGGTGATCTGCCCGCCTCAGTCTCCCAAAGTGCTGAGATTACAGGCGTGAGCCATCGCACCGGCCTGATGTCTGCTTCTGAGTTAATCTTCTGGATCACAGTAAGCATTTAATAAGAGTCGCTAAACTGCTTGCCCAGTGAGTTGGGGAGCTCTCAAATGTTTCTTGTCCATCTGTGAATGTAAGAAGCTAACAGAAAGTGAGACAAAAAAGAAAAATGCAGCTGGGCCTGTAATCCCAGCACTTTGGGAGGCTGAGGTGCGAAGATTGCTTGAGCCCAGGAATTGGGACCAGCCTGAGCAACAACACAGACCCCATCTCTGTTAAGAGAAGAAAGGTAAGAAAACCGCAGAATACATTGAGATTGTAAAGACTAGCATAGCAACCAGAGGCCCCAACCCAAACTCACCCGGATAGACCAGGAAGTCACCTCCAAACTTCCCAGCCGCGCTGAGGAAGAAGCCCCGCTCCCACAGGTCTCTGTAGATGCTGTAGCGCAGCTCATGGGCAGGGCGGCCGGCGTGGGGCCAGTCTTTAGACTGGACACGCCAGTCCAGGGGCCTGGCCTTGACAGGTCGAGGCCTTGCAGTGGCCAGCTGGACAAGGAGAGCAGATCTGGGCAAGGGGGCTACTCCATTTGAGGGTCCTGCTTGGGAAGAGGAGGGGCCTGGTTGAAGTACAGAGAAGAGTTTGGTAAATCCAAGGGGCAAAGTCTTCGCACCCTCAAGGAGACCCAGGCACTGGATTCCCAGCTAAAATTCCCAAAAGATCTCTCCTTTTCTTCCCATGGTCCCTGGACTCCACCTCCCACGCTCACCGGCTTCCTCCTGCTCTCCCGAAGCCTGGAGATCACTGGTCTCGTTCACTTTGGCAGCCTGGCTCCTGCCGGCCTCCTGGCTCGCGCTGGCCCCTGAAGCCTGTTCCAGCTTCTGCTTCTTGGCAGCCTGGCCCTCCGTAATCTTCTCTAGGAGCTCCTGCCGACGGGTCTCCCGGGCCTCAGCTGCCAAGGCGCTCTGCTCCTGGAAGCTCTGCTCTTGTTGGCGCTTGAAGGATGTCAGGGCCTGAGAAGCACACTTCGCTGGAACCTCCAAGCTTATGGTCGCTTCGGAAGCCAGTAATCCGGACTCTCAGGCCCCGCTCCCACCAGATCCAGGAGTTCGAGCCCCGCCCCCTTACCAGGCTGTGGTGCCGAGGGTCTGGGCGCGGGGCGCTGACCAGAGTCACAGCACCGATCTCTGCCAGGAGCCGCGCCTCTTCGGGCATCAACAGCAGCGGGAGGCCCAAGCGTGAGTTCTGGCGGGGCCCGCGGGGCAGGGCGCCTACCGTGCGGCCCCCCACTCCCAGGCGCTCCCGGAGGGCCTGAACCGCCTCGGCCCCCCACACCAGGGAGCGGCCGTTCGCCACCTCCACAACCAGCATCCTCCTGCGGGAGCCGGGAGACAAAGCGGTCACCGAAACAGCTGCGCCGCGGGCCCCCGGGAGAGCACTCGGCGCCTCGGGATCTGGCAAAACCCCGCCCCCAGGCCACAAAGGGCGGGGCCTCGCTCGGCCGCTGTTCACCACCTGCTGGGCCCAAGTGCCAGGCCCCGCCCCCGGACGATCCCACCAGGCTCCGCGGCCGCCGGAGACGGAGCCCCGCTCAGCCCTTGTGACCCTGCCGTCGGCACCCGCTCTGTGCCCACACTGCCCTACCTGCTATTGCGCCTTCAAGTCTCAAAAAGAAACCACAAGCGCGGCGAATCACCCCCTTATAAAGGTCCATTTTGGCTCCACCCTCTTGCAAAGTGGGCGTTCCCGTCGGGGATCAAAAGCTCTCGAAGCTAAAGCACCGCCGAGGCCACACCCTCTTCGGGACGCTCCGGCCTTAGCTCCTCCTGTTTCCGAACCACTGTGATTCGGCTGTCGGGCCTACTCGCTCTCAGACTCCCACAGTACGAAACCCTGCTCCCTCCTTGGAGCGGGAGGTTCGGCGTTCGGGAGTCCTCGACTCCACCGAATACACCGCCCCGCCCCCTTCTCGAACGTGAGCCATTTGGCGTTCGGGTGTTCTCGGCTCGGCCGACTACGTAGCCCCGCCCACTCCCGGACGCACAAGGTTCGGCGTTCTGCGTCATCGGCTTCTGGCAGTCCCGCAGCCTGTGGCCCCTCCCACTCCAAGAGCCAGCGCACCCCAGTTGGGGAGTTCCCGCCCCACGACCGAACCCCGTAGCCGAAAGCCCCGCCCCCTGGCCACCCGCCATCCACTCTCCGCTCGGGCAGGCTCACCCCACTTAGGAGCGCTCAGTCCGCTTCCTTGCTTCCCTTCAGAATGTCCCACGGTCCACGGATAGAATCACCGAGTCACCTCAGATACCACCAACTCGCAGTCAAGGCGGAGCCACCCACTACGCACCGCGCGCCACGCTCTGCTTCCTCCACCCTCCCCTCCCCATGTCGACCCCCAGCGTCAATTTCGTCATTCCGCCGCCTCGGCGCCGCGGGAAGTCAGGACCCTCCCCTCACAGGCCTGGAGCCCCGCCTTCTTCCCGCGGTGGCCACCTTGGCACCCCCACATCGAGCGCACCTCCCTCTGCCGCTACTCCGGAATTTGAGGATCGTCTCCCTGACCCCGCCCCCTACGCGCACGCCGATCTCCGGGGTTCCGCCCCTTTGAGGGCAAGTCGCTTTCGCCCCTCCACTTTGTAAATATTCTTCCGTATCTGCCGAACCTGTTGACTCCGCCTATCATCCTAGCGTCACTTATACCCAACTATCTACGAAGTAAACCGAAACTTGTAGCCCCACCCACATCCGGCCGAGTGTGGTCCCGCCCACATCAGAACAGCGACCCTGACTCGACTATCTCCGAAGAAAGCCGAAACGTGTGGCCCCGCCCACGCCGGCCCCAGCACTCGGTTCTCGACTATCTCCGAAGTGAGCGGAAGTTTGTGGCCCCACCTCCAGTGAACTCAAGCTCCCGACTGTGCCCGAAGGAACCCGAACGGAGACCCCGCCTCATCTCTCACGCTAGGCTCCAGACCCCGCCTCTTTTCCGGATCCTGTCTTATCCTCCCCGGGCCCAAGGCTTTTGGCTCCTCCTTGTTCCGAGCCCGAGGCCCCGCCCCTTCACGTACTCGGAACTCGGAGCCCATTGCAGACCTGGACTCGAGTGCCGCTGCTGGCTCGCGCTCCTGGCGCCCGCTCCCGGGCTTCTTCCCTGCCCGCCCGGGGCCCTGACCGTGGCCTCATCCCCGGCCCGATCCGCGGGTCTCGGCGGGCGCCCCGAAGGAGCAGGCGGCGCGGGGGCGCACTGGGCGGGGGAGGCGTGGCCGGAGCCGCGGCGGCTCGCGGGCTGGGACTGCTCGGCCGCCTCCTTCCCGGCGGGCGGCTCAGGTGGGCCGGGGTGGCGGCCCCCAATGGCAAGGCGGGGGTCACGCGGTGGCGGGGTAGCTACGGACTGGCGGGTGCGGGGCGGCTCCGGGGCGCGCTGGAGTTCGGGGCTGGCGCAACCTCCTGTAGCTCTGTCGGGAGTGGGATCCGACCCACGCTGGCGTGCGCGGGACATGCTGGGCCTGGGCCTGGGGAAAGGAGGGGCTCCGATCCCCGAATTCTCAATAGGAGAGGGGTCTGGAGCGCCAAAGAGGTTGGAGGCTGGAGCCCCGGGCTCCTCTGGGTGCTCTCGAAGGAGAAGGGCTCGGGGTTACGAATATCTGGTTTCACAAGGGCCGGGGATGGGGGATGCAAAGAGGGGGTCTGGGCTCCTGGATCCTCGCTGGAAGAGGGGGCTTGGACGTCTAGACTCCTGGGCTCTCAAAGAGGAGGGGTCCGGGAGGGGTGCTGCTTCTGGGTTTTTTAAGGAGGGGCGTCTTCAAATCTGGGTCTTCAGCATGGGTGCAGGGAGTAGCTTTGATTTCTGCATTTGAAAAGGTGGGGCCTGGGTGCTGGGAGAGCCCCACGCTTTCCTGCGTTCTCAAAGGAGGAGGGCTGGAGCCCTGTGCACTCTGAAAGGAGAGGAGTCTCCTGTCTTCCTGTCTCCTCCAAGGAGGAAGGAGCTGGAGTCCCGGTTCCTAGGTTCTCCTGAGACTCGGACTCCGGAATCCTAAAAAACTGGGGTCCAGAGGGCTGCCTGGATTCCTGGGTTCTCACAGTGAATCTGCCCCTCCCCCAGACCATGTCTCCTGAAGAATGGACGTATCTAGTGGTTCTTCTTATCTCCATCCCCATCGGCTTCCTCTTTAAGAAAGCTGGTGAGTCAGGTTCCCTCCCCAGTGGAAAATAAGGGGGGGACCCTCTGGAAGGTTCCAGGCTTATTCTGTCCCTTCCCCCTGCAGGTCCTGGGCTGAAGAGATGGGGGGCAGCTGCTGTGGGCCTGGGGCTCACCCTATTCACCTGTGGCCCCCACACTTTGCATTCTCTGATCACCATCCTCGGGACCTGGGCCCTCATTCAGGCCCAGCCCTGGTGAGAATTTGAGGGAGGGAGGAGGGGAGAGGAGAGGGAGATGAGGGGAGAGGAGAGGAGAAGAGAGGGAGAGGACAGGGAGAGGAGAGGGGAGAAGAGAGGGAGAGGAGGGGAGATGAGGGGAGAGGAGAGGAGGGGAGGGGAGAGGAAAGAGGAGGGGGAGGAGAGAGGAAGGAGGGGAGAGGAGAGGAGAGGGAGAAGAGAGAGAGGAGGAAAGAGGAGGGGGAGGGGAGAGGGAGAGAAGGAGAAGAGAGGGAGAGGAGGGGAGGGGAGAGGAAAGAGGAGGGGGAGGAGAGAGGAAAGAGGAGGGGAGAGGAGAGGAGGGGGAGAGGAGAGGAGAGGGAAAAGAGGAGGGGAGAGGAAAGAGGTGGGGGAGGAGGAGGAGGGGAGAAGAGAGGGAGAGGAGGGGAGAAGAGAGGGAGAGGAGGGGAGAAGAGAGGGAGAGGAGGAGAGAGGAGAGGGAGAGGAGAGAGAGGAGAGGGAGAGGAGAAGAGGGGAGAGGAGAGGGGAGAAGAGAGGGAGAGGAGGGGAGAGGAAGGGAAAGAGGGAAGCAACCTGTTTCCTCTCTGTGTCTTTCTCAGTTTCTGCCTCATCTCTGGCTGTCTCTTGTTGACCAGTTTGTTTCTTTGTGTCATCTGTTTCTTCTTTTCTTTTCTGAGACGGAAATTCACTCTTGTTGCCCAGGCTGGAGAGCAGTGGTACAATCTCAGCTCACTGCCACCTCCACCTCCCCGGGTTTAAGTGATTCTCCTGCCTCGGCCTCCTGAGTAACTGGGATTACAGGCATGCGCCACCACGCCTGGCTAATTTTATATTTTTAGTAGAGGCTGAAGCAAATAAATAAGAAGAAAAAGAAAATGGTTGTAAATTACAGGTAAAAAGTTTAAAAAATAAAAACAATTTTAAAAAAAGAGACTGGGTTTCTCCATGTTGGCCAGGTGTGTCTCGAACCCCTGACCTCAGGTGATCCGCCTGCCTTCACCTCCCAAAGTGCTGGGATTACAGGCATGAGCCACTTGGCCTGGCCCTCATCTGTTTCTCTTCCCCCGTTGCCTTCTGTGTTTGTCCCAGTCTGCTACATCTATGTCATGGAGAGAAAAGGACAGTGTGTCTGCTGGCCCCGCCACCATTCATATTCATATCCAGCCCCCTCTTCTTGAGCCCTGGACCTTGGAAATAAAGAAAAAGTGAAGGATTGCAGGGTCTTCACCCGAAGCTCCTCTGAACCTCATTCTTCTCTGTTGCTGTGTGTTTCTGTGTGGCTGAGCCTCTTCTCCCGTTTCAGTCATACTCATTCCATCTCCATCCACCCTCCAGTCCTCTCTCTGCCCGTCTGTTTCTGTCTCTGAACGAATGGGGAGAGCTGGGGGACAGGGAGGCCAAGGCCGAGACCTCTGTGCCCACCACGACGCGCCTCCTGCTTTTGCCCAGCTCCTGCCACGCTCTGGCCCTGGCCTGGACTTTCTCCTATCTCCTGTTCTTCCGAGCCCTCAGCCTGCTGGGCCTGCCTACTCCCACGCCCTTCACCAATGCCGTCCAGCTGCTGCTCACGCTGAAGGTCAGACTCGGGGCTCACTACTCCGACTCGGGGCTCACTACTCCGACTCGGGGCTCACTACTCTGACTCGGGGCTCACTACTCCCCTCCAGCTGCTCCGGGGGATTTTACCTCCCACACACCCTGGGGGTGGGACATCACCCCACCTGCTGCCCTGGGTAGGATTCCCCATTCACATGCCCCTGGGCAGGTCTTCACCTCTCAGCCCCTCCTGGGGTGAAGAAATGGCCCATGGAGGGTAACAGTCAGTGCCATTAAGTGCTTGTGGTGTGCCAGAGGCCCAGCTGGGTGTTTACTCACGTGCTCTCCTGGAATCTCTGCAGCCAGCTGTGTTGCAAAGGAGAAAAACCAGCTCTGGGGAGAAGGTACTTGGTGAAGTACCTTCAAAAACTAGGACACCCAGGTCTGGCTCCTTCACTCCTGGGAAAACGAGTGAATACAGACTCCCAGGGCCCACCAAGACCCACAGAGTCATGGTTTCCTCCTGGCGGCTTATCAGTGAACCCAGTGGTCATGCTAGGTAGGCAGTGGGCTCCCCAGCATTCAGTGTTCCCTGCAAGAGCTTAGCAGTGGCAGGAGTGGGCTGGGTGAGAGGGGTTAGAGGAGGAGCATTTCAGGCCGTAGGGACCATGTGTGGAGAGGAGCAGGCTGGGTTCTGCAGACTGCACCAGCCACATCAGCTTTCGAGGAGGAGCAGAAGGGAACCGGCAGCAGGACTGAGACCGTGCTAGGCCTGGCCAGCAACCATGAGGACTCTGGACTTCTTCCCATGGAGGACTGAGCGCTGCTGGGGAGGGGATTTTTGGTTTGCTGCCAAATGATGAGATGTGACCAGTTTTAGATGTTTAAAAATACTTGTTCTGGGCCGGGTGCAGTGGCTCACGCCTGTAAATCCCAGCACTTTGGGAGGCTGAGGCAGGTGGATCACCTGCAGTCAGGAGTTTGAGACCAGCCTGGCCAACATGGTGAAACCCTGTCTCTACTAAAAATACAAAAATGAGCCAGGTGTGGTGGCATACCTGTAATCCCAGCTACTGGGAAGGCTGAGGCAGGAGAATTGCTTGAACCCAGGAGGCGGAGGTTGCAGTGAGCCAAGATCATCCCACTGCACTCCAGCCTGGGCCTCCCCAGGTGAGATGCCATCTCAAAAAAAAAGAAAAAAAAAAACACTATTCTGGATGCTGGAGGAGAATTGAAGTGGATCAGGGCAAGATGGGATGGACTGGGATAAAGGAGGGTCCCTTTATCTGAGTCCAGGTGACAAACTGATGGCTTGGTGCAGGCTGTTGGCTATGGGTAGGGCAGGGAGTTGCAGCAGGAAACCCCGCATTTAGGATGGTCAGAATAGTGGCCGTGTGTGGGCAGGATGTAGAGGAGCGAGAAGGGACAAGAAGTGCCTGCCTGAACCCCAGACCTGCGGCAGGAGCCCTTCCCAACCCTAGGCCCAGGGGAAGTGGGGCAGGTTGTACCTGGGTGGAGAAAGGGTTGTGTAGACTTGGCGCAGTGCCTCATAATCTAATCCCAGTGCTTTGGGAGGCCATGGTGGGAGGATTGCTGGAGGCCAGGAGTTTAAGGCCAGCCTGGGCAATATAGTGAGACCCTGTCTCTACAAAAAAATTACTATTATTATTTTATTTTTTTCTGAGATGGAGTCTTGCTCTGTCACCCAGGCTGGAGTGCAGTTGTGCAATCTCTGCTCACTGCAACCTCTGCCTCCCGAGTAGCTGAGATTACAGGTGCCCACCACCATGTCCGGCTAATTTTTATATTTTTAGTAGAGATGAGGTTTCACCATGTTGCCCAGGCTGGTCTCAAACCCCTGACATCAAGTGATCCACCTGCCTTGGCCTCCCAAAGTGCTGGGATTGCAAGCATGAGCCACCACACCTGGCCCTAAAATTATTTTTTTTATGAGTATGTAGAGCCACCCACCTTGAAATGATCTATCAAGGGCGACGGCCAGCCCAAGCCCATCTCACTGGGGAGTAAAAGCCCTGCTGCCCCCTCCTGTCTTCATGCATCTCCAGCCAGGGCTTTCTGTTGGCGCCCTGGCCAGAAGCTGGAAGACAGAGCCCTGTGGATATAGGGCCGACCTTGGGACTGGCGGGAAAGGATGGAGAGTACAACGTACTCCTCTCATTAGTGGAGACGGAAAGAGGCAAGACTCAAAACTTAAGGGATTTCAAGGTGGGCAGATCACTTGAGGCCAGGAGTTTGAGACCAGCCTGGCCAGCTGAGGCATGAGCATTGCTTGAACCCCTGGGAGGGGAAGGTGGCAGTGAGCCAAGATCATACTCCAGCCTGGGCGACAGAGTAAAACTTGTCTCAAAAAGAAAGAGGTTGGCCAGGCGTGGTGGCTCACGCCTGTAATCCCAGCACTTTGGGAGGCCGAGGCGGGTGGATCACGAGGTCAAGAGATTGAGACCATCCTGGTCAACATGGTGAAACCCTGTCTCTACTAAAAATACAAAAATTAGCCGAGCATGGTGGTGCACGCCTGTAATCCCAGCTACTTGGGAGGCTGAGGCAGGAGAATTGCCTGAACCCAGGAGGTGGAGGTTGCGGTGAGCCGAGATTGCGCCATTGCACTCTGGCCTGGGTAACAAGAGCGAAACTCCATCTCAAAAAAAAAGAGGTTAAGGGATAGGATTTGGGGATCGAGGGAGGTTTTCAGCTTGAACAATTCGGTGGCCTTTTGTTTGAGGGGAGAGACTAGAAGAGGGTCTGCTTTGTGGGTGGGTAACATCGTCTTCTGTTTCCAGTGCTTTTGAAGTGCTAGAGACATCCACGTATCGATGCCAATAAGCCATTACCTGGATAGGTCTGGGGCTGGGTGGGTAGTATCTAAAGCTCCGTGATTGTGTGAGAGCAGGTAAGGATGGAATGGGGAAAGGGGAGGAATGCCTGGGACTCAGCCCTGGAGAACACTGTCCCGATACAGGCCTTACAAACAACCTTGGGGTGCAGAGCTGTGGGTGCCCAGCACCCTGTGGCTGCAGAGGGCAGCGAGGGACATGGGTGTGGGGAAGGGACCAGAGTCTGACCTGGTGCCTTGCCCACCCCCTCCCACCTAGCTGGTGAGCCTGGCCAGTGAAGTCCAGGACCTGCACCTAGCCCAGAGGAAGGAAATGGCCACGGGCTTCAGCAAGGGGCCCACCCTGGGGCTGCTGCCTGACGTGCCCTCCTTGATGGAGACGCTCAGCTACAGCTACTGCTACGTGGGAATCATGACCGGTGAGTGGGCCTGCCGGGACAGCTCTGCCGCTGCGCCGCTCTGTCTCCCGTGTTTCCCTCCTCCCTGGGTGCCTATTCTGTGTTCCCACCCTGCCCGGGGCAAGCTCCATCTTAGCGTCCGCTGCTGTGAGGGTGAGCATGTATGTGGATCCAAGTCTCACACCTCCACTGGACCAGAAGTGCCTTGGGGTGGAGGCTGGCTCTTCTCAGCCTAAGTGATTCCTTGCTCTTCTCCTTGTTGTAGCTTATTGGCAGCAAAGAGAAGAGATAAAGGAGGCAAAGGTCTGTGTATTTAGGGTCCACTTTTAGTTTAAGGAAATATTTTTCAGCTGGGCGTGGGGGCTCATGCCTATAATCATAGCACTTTGGGAGGCTGAGGTGAGAGGACTGCCTGAGGCCAAGAGTTCAAAGTCAATCTGGCCAACATAGCAAGATCCATCCCTTTGTTTTAAATAAATAAATATAAAATTAAAAGGGCTGGGTGTAGTGGCTCATGCCTGTAATCCCAGCACTTTGGGAGGCTAAGGCAGGTGGATCACCTGAGGTCAGGGGTTTGAGACCAGGCTGGCCAACATGGAGAAACCCTATCTCTATTAAAAATACAAAAATTAGGCCGGGTGCGGTGGCTCACGCCTATAATCCCAGCGCTTTGGGAGGCTGAGGCGAGTGGATCACGAGGTCAAGAGATTGAGACCATCCTGGTCAACATGGTGAAACCCCGTCTCTACTAAAAATACAGAAATTAGCTGGACATGGTGGTGCATGACTGTAGTCCCAGCTACTCAGGAGGCTGAGGCAGGAGAATTGCCTGAACCCAGGAGGCGGAGGTTGCCGAGATCGTGCCATTGCACTCCAGCCTGGGTAACAAGAGCGAAACTCTGTCTCAAAAAAAAAAATTAGCCAGGAGTGGTGGCGCCTGCCTGTAATCCCAGCTACTTGGGAGGCTGAGGCAGGAGAATCTCTTGAACCTGGGAGGCGAGGTTTCGGTGAGCTGAGATGACGCCATTGCACTCCAGCCTAGGCAGCGAGAGCAAAACTCCATCTCAAAAAAAAAAAAAAAACCACACACAACTCTTGGCTGCTTTGATTCTGTAAAAAAAAAAAAAATTCCCTGACTTTTAGTATATCCGCCGAGTTGTACAAACATGACCACTGTGTAGTTATTTTCACAACAGTTTCACACCCTGCAAAGAAACCCCAGATCTGTCATCCCCCAAACCGCCGTCCATCTCTGGAAAGCACTGCTTGACTTCCTGTCTGTAAAGATCTGCCTGTTCTGGACATTGTGCTCACAAATGGAGTCATACAACCTGTGTCTTATTTATTTATTTATTATTATTTATTTTATTTATTTATTTTTTGAGACGGAGTTTCACTCTTGTTACCCAGGCTGGAGTGCAATGGCGTGATCTCGGCTCACCACAGCCTCCGCCTCCTGGGTTCAGGCAATTCTCCTGCCTCAGCCTCCTGAGTAGCCGGGATTACAGGCACGCGCCACCATGCCCAGCTAATTTCTGTATTTTTAGTAGAGACGGGGTTTCACCATGTTGACCAGGATGGTCTTGATCTCTTGACCTCGTGATCCACCCGCCTCGGCCTCCCAAAGTGCTGGGATTACAGGCATGAGCCACCGCGCCCGGTTCCTTTTTTAATTTTTAACGTCCCATACTACATTGACCTAAACATGTGTTATTTTGTGAATATACAAAAATTTTAACTCTGGTCCCTTCTGTGAATCACACTCCTTCCTCCCTAGGCCAGACTACCATCATGTTGTAGCTAAAGTGCCACAGCTATGTCCTAGTTTCTTTCTTTCCCTCCTTCCTCCCTCCCTCCCTTCTTGCCTCTTTTCCTCCTTCCCTCCTTCCCTTTGTCCCTGGCTGGAACTCCATAGCACAGTCACTGCTCACTGCAGCCTGGGCTCAAGCGATCCTCCCACCTCAGCCTCCCCAGTAGCTGGGATTACAGGTGCCTCCACCACACCTGCCTAATTTTTATGTTTTGTAGTGACAGGGTTTTGCCATTTTGCCCAGGCTGGTCTCAAACTCTTGGGCTCAAGCCTCCCACCTAGGTCTCCCAAAGTGCTGGAATTCTAGGTATGAGCCACCGCGCCTGGCCCCCACTATCTAATTTCCTGTCACTGTCTCTGTCTCTCCGAGTCTTGTTGTCCCCCATCTCCTTCCTTGTCCCCATCTCTCTGGGTCTCTGTCCCTACCCCTGGGGTTTCCCCCGGCACCCAGTGTCTGCCTCTCTATTCCTCTTCCCACCTGCCCTCCAAGCTCTTTCTCCTCCTGCAGACTCGAGCTCTGCCCACCTGCCCATCTGACTGCTGCCCTCCCTCCCTGACCCACAGGCCCGTTCTTCCGCTACCGCACCTACCTGGACTGGCTGGAGCAGCCCTTCCCGGGGGCCGTGCCCAGCCTGCGGCCCCTGCTGCGCCGCGCCTGGCCGGCCCCTCTCTTCGGCCTGCTGTTCCTGCTCTCCTCCCACCTCTTCCCGCTGGAGGCCGTGCGCGAGGACGCCTTCTACGCCCGCCCGCTGCCCGCCCGCCTGTTCTACATGATCCCCGTCTTCTTCGCCTTCCGCATGCGCTTCTACGTGGCCTGGATTGCCGCCGAGTGCGGCTGCATTGCCGCCGGCTTCGGGGCCTACCCCGTGGCCGCCAAAGCCCGGGCCGGGGGTGGCCCCACCCTCCAATGCCCACCCCCCAGCAGGTCAGGCGGCGGGAGGGAGGCTTCCCAAGACCCAGCGGCCCCCACCTCCAAGGGCTGGCTCTGCCCCTAGCAGGGAGGAGAGCGGGGAGTAAGGGGGCAGGGATACCACCTTTTGTTAGCTGTCGATAGGGAAAAAAAAACCCTGGTACTGACAGATGCCCCTTGTTGCTAGCGCTTGTCACCCCGCAGTATGGTGAACTGAACCCCCCCCCCGCATTGCTAGGAAAATGTGGTAACTTAGCAACACTGTGCCACCCCTCTGTTGCCACGGAAGTGTCACCCCCAGAACCAGATTGTTCCTGCTTGCTGGGGATGCCATCCTTTGGTAGTGGCGGGTCACCCTCTGTTGCTAGGGAAACAGTTACCTAGCAACCGAACACCACTCTGCCAGGGAAGCAGGGTCCCTAGCAACAGTAGTTCACCTCCTTCTTGCCAGAAGTTTTGCTCTGTTGCTGCAGATACGGCACCCCCTGCACCACCCCTCTGTTTCTAGGAGCTAGCCCTCCTCCATCTCATGGGATGTGGTCAAGTAGCTGCGCTCTTTGAAAGGAAATAGCAATTTCAAATCCCCGCCTGCTGTTACCCAGCAGAGCTGATGCCATTCCTAGCAACTCCAGTTATACTGTTGCTAAGGAAGCCAGGCCTCCCCCTGGTGACTATGGGTTGACCCTAGTTTTCAGAGAGGCTGCATGCCCCAACCGGCATCGCTAGGCAAGTCGCATGGCCACACCTGTGGGCTCTCCTGTGGCTGAGGAAGTATTGCCCCTGTGTTGCTAGGGAAATGGCACCCCTGGCAACCAGGAGTAGACTGCCCTTGTGTTCCTGGCAGCTGCAGTTAGCCTTCCCCCAGGGCTTGGACTGTGGCTGGGGCAGCAGCCTGTTGATGTAAATGATGAACTATCCCCTGCTAGGGTTGTGCCATCCCTAGTCGAAAACTGCCATTGGTTGTGGGGGTAGTGATACCCCCACGTGAGTTTATGACCACTGCCCTGATAACCATGCCCTGACTCTAGCTGCTAGAGATAGGATGTCCCCCCCAGAAAAGCCAAGCAGGAATTGAAGGCTTTGCTAAATCCACTTGGCCCCCACTCCTCAAGATGGCTCCCCTCCCATCATCAGAGGCCACCAGGTCTTCATGTGGGCCAGCGTTTCCCACTGCTGGGGCTATTGGCACGAGTGACGACAGAGCCACTGTATTGCTAGGGGTGACACTTCGACATTGCTGGGACCAGGAAAAAAGCCCTTTTTTAAAAGCCTTTCTAAACATCCTGGGCCCTGTTGCTAAGGAATGCCTTTTCCTTAGCAACAGAGATCATTAAGACCCCACTGGCGACTGGAACATCTCCCTAGCAACCGTGAATCATCGTGTTATTAGGGAAGATACTTCCCTAGCAACAGCAGTGTCCAATAGTTTAGAAGGGACCATCCTTGGAGGCTTCTCTGAATATACTGAGCTTGGTTGCTAAAGGACTCATAGCTTAGCAAGCAGCCCTTCAAGGCTTTTCATGGCTCTGGCAGGCCCCGTTAGTTACCAAAGCAAGAAGAACCCCGCTGTCGGTGAGCAATACCACCCGGCCCACCCCTCCTCCTCCCGACAGGCACCCTCTCGGCCACCCTCCCTTGTCGCCCTAGCAAATCTGACAGCCAGAGGGCCACTGCCTGGCCAGGATCCCTTCCTTAGCATCCGGGGCTGGGACACTAGCAGGCGTCGGGAGGGGGCCTGGCTGAGCTGCATGTCTGTCCCCCACCCTCATCCTCCACCCCCAGTCCGGAGAAGGCGGCTTCCCTGGAGTATGACTATGAGACCATCCGCAACATCGACTGCTATGGCACGGATTTCTGCACGCGGGTGCGCGAGGGCATGCGGTACTGGAACATGACGGTGCAGTGGTGGCTGGCGCAGTACATCTACAAGAGCGCACCGACCCGCTCCTATGTGCTGCGGTGAGTGAGCCCGCCCAGCCTCAGGGACGCTACAGAACCGCATCTCCCAGCAGGCCCCAGGGTAGCCTGCAGCTTCCCTGGCTGGGCCCCTGCCCCGGAGGCTCACGGGAGTTGTAGTTTGTTTAGCCTGGTTTTGCCCTGCCTCTAATTAGTGGCAGCACGCTGGTGTAAATAGTTCCCCATCATGGAGCCTCGGTTTCTACTTCTGTAAAGTCAGCCTTACTCTACAGAAGCAACTGAGACCTGTGGACTCAGTAGCCAGCCTTCCTGGAATTTCAGCCGTCTAGGTGATGGAGAAACCCTGAGGAGTTAGTTGACCTCTTGGTTGCCTCGAATATTCAACGGAGTTAATGCTTTTTATTACTGGTTTCATAGGTAGATAAAATGATTAAATGCGATAGAATGTGAAATGTATTTAATGTGAGGCCTGACAGGTAAGTGCCTGCCATCTATTAGTTTTTATTTTTTTTCATTCTTCCAATGTTTCTTGAGTGAAGACTGCTAGACGTTGTTTTTGGCGCAGCCTTGTAAGTAGAAACTCATGGCCGTGCTTTGGCCCAAGCCCGTAATCCCAGCACTTTGGGAGGCCGAGGCGGGTGGATCACGAGGTCAAGAGATCGAGACCATCTTGGCCAACATGGTGAAACTCTGTCTCTACCAAAAATACAAAAATTAGCTGGGCATGGTGGCGCGCGCCTGTAGTCTAAGCTACTCAGGAGGCTGAGGCAGGAAAATCGCTTGAACCTGGGAGGCAGAGGTTACAGTGAGCCGAGATTGTGCCACTGCACTCCAGCCTGGCGACAGCAAGACTCTGTCTCAAAAACAAACGAACGAAAGAGTAGGTGGTTCATGCCTGTAATCCCAGCCTTTTGGGTAGCCCAGGCAAGTCAATCGCCTGAGGTCAGGGCAATATGGTGCAACCCCTTCTCTACTAAAAATACAAAAAGTTAGCTGGGCGTAGTGACGGTTGCCTGTTATCCCAGCTACACAGGAGGCTGAAGGAAGAGAATCAACTTGAACCCAGGAGGTGGAGGTTGCAGTGAGCTGAGGTCGCCTGGGCGACTGAGCGACACTTCATCCCAAAAACTAAAATAAAGGTGGAAGGGGAAGACCCAGCAGGAGTGTTTTGGGAGTAGGTAGGATGAGGAAAGGACTTGTGTTTAGTCTCACTGACTTTGAGATGACCATTAGATTTCCAGCTGGGGTTATTGGGTAGGTAATTATGTAATTCTGATGCTCACGGGAAAAGTCACTCTTTTTTTTTGAAACAGAGTCTTGCTCTGTCACTAGGCTGGAGTGCAGTGGCATGATCTCAGCTCACTGCAACTTCCAGCTCCCGGGTTCAAGCGAGTCTCCTGCTTCAGCCTCCCATGCCTAGCTAATTTTTTGTATTTTAGTAGAGATGGGGTTTCACCAGGTTGGCCAGGATGGTCTTGATCTCCTGACCTCGTGATCCGCCCACCTCGGCCTCCCAAAGTTGAGATTATAGGCATGAGCCACTGTACCTGGCCAGGAAAAGTCACTCTTAAAAGTGGACACTTGAGTGGTATCAGGTGTAAATGATGCTTTTTAAAATGTATTTATTTTTATGTATTTATTATTTTTTGACGCTTTGTCACCCAGGGTGGAGTGCAGTGGCACGACGTCAGCTCACTGCAGCTTCCATATCCTGGGTTCAAGTGATTCTCCTGCCAACTAGCTGGGATTACAGGTGTGCGACACCACGCCCAGCTAATTTTTTTATCTTTAGTAGATGTGGGGTTTCACCATGTTGGCCAGGCTAGTCTCAAACTCTTGGCCTCAAGTGATCCACCTACCTCAGCCTCTCGAAGTGCTGGAATTACAGGCTTGAGCCACCAAGCCTGACCAAAGTTTTTAAATTAATTTTTTTTTTTTTAGTTTTTAAAAAATATATAGAGATGTTGACTTAGGCCTGTGTTGACTAGGCTGGTCTCAAAGTCCTGGCCCCAAGCAGTCCTCCCATCTCAGCCTCCCAAAGCGCTGGGACTGCAAGCATGAGCCACTGTGCCCAGCCAGGTATAGATGATACTTAAAAGCTCTGGGGCTGAGGCCACATCAAAGCCCAGAGCACCTCAGTGTTTGACAAGCGCTTCTCAACTGGGGGAAATTCTGCTGCTGCTGCTGCACCTCCAGGAGACGCGGGGCAATACCTGGAGACGTTTTGTTGTAACTGGAAGGGACTAGGGGCATGGAGTGGGTGGAGCCCACAGTGCTCCTAAGCACCTTACACGCACAGGACTCATCCTTGTTTACCGTCCACTCTGGAGGACGGGGCAGTGGGGCAGTGGATCGGGTGGAGCCCATGGTGCTCCTAAACGCCCTACATGCACAGGACTCGTCCTTGTTTACCGTCCACTCTGGAGGACGGGGCAGTGGCGCTGTTTGGTTTCCTTTTTTGTTTTTGTTTTTGCATTTTTGAGACAAAGTCTCGCTCTGTCACCCAGGCTGGAGTGCAGTGGTGCAATCTCAGCTCACTGCAACCTCTGCCTCCTGCATTCAAGCAGTTCTCCAGCCTCAGCCTCCTGAGTAGCTGGGGTTACAGGCGCCCACTACCACGCCCAGCTAACTTTTTGTGTTTTTGGTAGAGTCGGGGCTTCACCATGTTGGCCAGGCTGGTCTCGAACTCCTGACCTCAAGTGATCCACCTGCCTTGGCCTCCCAAAGTGCTGGGATTACATGCGTGAGCCACGGTGCCCAGCCTTGTTTTTCTTTTCTTAAATAGAGATGAAGTCTCACTATGTTGCCCAGGCTGTTCTTGAGCTCCTGGCCTCAAGCATCCTTCCCACCTCAGCCTCCCAAAGTGCTGGGATTACAGGTGCAAGGCACTATAACCTGGTCCTGAAGAACCAGAAAGCCAGTGGTCCTCCCTTCTCAAGATACCAGGAGTTGGCCAGGTGCAGTGGCTGACGTCTGTAATTCCAGTACTTTGGGAGGCCAAGGTGAGAGGATCACTTAAGCTCAGGAGTTCAAGACCAGCCTGGAAAACAGCAACATTACATCTCTACAAAGAAAAAAAAAAGATGGATCTGGGCCTTGGAGGAAGAGGAACATAACTCCTGGCCACAGAATAAGGAAGGCCCACAGACCAGGGTCTTCATGGGCCAGGCAGCAGTCTCAAATGTTAGCAGGCATCGAAGTCACCTGGAATACTTGTTACCCGGAAGAGTTCTGGGCCCCAGCCCCAGGGCTTCTGGTGCAGGAGGCGTGGCGACAGGGATCTGTGTGTGTCACAAGTTCTCAGTCGATGCTGATGCCAGAGCTGAAGAACCACTGGGGCCCACTTCAGTGGCTCACGCCTAGAATCCCAGCACTTTGGGAGACTGAGGTGGGCGGATCACCTGAGGTCAAGAGTTTGAGACCAGCCTGGCCAACATGTTGAAACCCCCGCCTCTACTAAGAATAGAAAAATTAGCCAGGAGTGGTGGTACATGCCTGTAATCCCAGCTACTCGGGAGGCTGAAGCAGGACAATGGCTGAACCAAGGAGGCGGAGGTTGCAGGGAGCCGAGATTGCGTCACTGCACTCCAGCCTGAGCCACAGGGCAAGACTCAGAAAGAAAAAGAACCAGTGGGCCCAACAATTAGACTTCTTGGTCCTGGGAGAGGAAGGGCAGTGGAACATAAAATGATCAATCTTTAAAGGAGGAGATGGCCTGGGATACAGCTGTGAAGTGTGTGTGGAAGGCTCGGGGCTCCTGGATCCCTGAAGGAGACAGCAGCCTATAGCCTCCTCCACCTTCTGGAGCTAGGGAAAAGGGGCATGGGTTTGAGCAGGGAGGGCCCAGGGCCTGGACTCCTGGGTCTGAGGGAGGAGGGGCTGGGGGCCTGGATTTCTGGGTCTGAGGGAGGAGGGGCTGGGGCCTGGACTCCTGGGTCTGGGGGAGGAAGGGCTGGGGCCTGGACTCCTGGGTCTGAGGGAGGAGGGGCTGGGGGTCTGGATTTCTGGGTCTGAGGGAGGAGGGGCTGGGGCCTGGACTCCTGGGCCTGGGGGAGGAGGGGCCGGGGGTCTGGACTCCTGGGGCTTGGGGAGGAGGGGCTGGGGGTCTGGACTCCTGGGGCTGGGGGAGGAGAGGCTGGGGCTCTGGATTTCTGGGTCTGGGGGAGGAGGGGCTGGGGTCTGGACTCCTGAGTCTGCGGAGGAGGGGCTGAGGGTCTGGATTTCTGGGTCTGAGGGAAGAGGGGCTGGAGCCTGGACTCCTGGGTCTGGGGGAGGAGGGGCCAGCGGTCTGGACTCCTGAGTCTGAGGGAGGAGGGGCTGGGGGTCTGGACTCCTGGGGCTGGGGGAGGAGGGGCCGGGGATCTGGACTCTGGGGCTGGGGGAGGAGGGGCTGGGGTCTGGACTCCTGTGGCCGGGGGGGCAGAGGGCACTGGACTGGCAGGTCCTGACTCCCAGCCCCTCCTCAGGAGCGCCTGGACCATGCTGCTGAGTGCCTACTGGCATGGCCTCCACCCGGGCTACTACCTGAGCTTCCTGACCATCCCGCTGTGCCTGGCTGCGGAGGGCCGGCTGGAGTCTGCCCTGCGGGGGCGGCTGAGCCCAAGGGGGCAGAAGGCCTGGGACTGGGTGCACTGGTTCCTGAAGATGCGTGCCTATGACTACATGTGCATGGGCTTCGTGCTCCTCTCAATGGCAGACACACTTCGGTACTGGGCCTCCATCTACTTCTGCATCCACTTCCTGGCCCTGGCTGCCCTGGGGCTGGGGCTGGCATTGGCTGGGGGCAGCCCCGGCCGGCGGAAGGCAGCCTCCCAGCCCACCAGCCTTGCCCCGGAGAAGCTCCGGGAGGAGTAAGCTTCGAGACGCTCCCTCTGCTAGCGGTTCCCGGGGATTCTGTGAACCAGGCTGCTGTCTCCTCCCCAGAAGGAGTCCTTACCTTGGCAAGGGTCCTGGAGAGAATTTCCTCTTCCCCAGCTAATACCCTGCCTGCCACTGAAGCAGACTTGCCAGTGTCCTCCCTGCCCTCTGCCCAGGGGCCTCCAGTGGCCACTCCCCTCCTACAAAATCCAAGTCCTGTCCTGAAAAGTCTCCCTTGCCCCTGCTCCGGCTTTGGGATCTTCAGAGAGCACTGCGCTACCCAAGAACGGAAGGGGCCTCTGGGTGGTGGGTTTGGGCAAATTCCCTTTCTGCATCCACAGTGTGGGGTTGGAGCTGGGGCAGCCTCTTCCCTGTGTCTCTCACTCCGCCCTTAGCTCATCACGCCCATATTGCAGACTTGGAAGGAAGCATAAGCTTCCCATTTCACAAAAAGGAAACTGAGGCACGGATACACAGGCCTGGGGCCTGCCACCCCACGGCTTATGTCTGAGCCACCTTGGGGCCCCAACACTCTTGGCTCCCTCTTCTCATCCTTTGGCCTGTGACAGGTCACAGTGTGTAAATCTTTCCCAATAAAGTTGCACAAATGCATCGTGTCTGTGCAAGTACCTGCGGGTGACAAACACCGGGAGTCTCAGGTGAGGTGCAGCGGCCAGCCTGGCCCAGGAACCAAACGGTCAGGCCCGGGCACCACGGGGACTTCAGGTCCCAGGAGACCTTTCGAATCCCCAGCCCTGAGAAACTACAGGAAGAAGTGTACCTAACTCCCTCCGGGCCACCTGCCGGCCAGGTACACACCTGCCCTGGCCCCGCCCTTACCTGGGGCCGTGTCTGCCTGCTGGCCACTAGAGAGCCCAGCCTGAGGCCATGGAAGAAAACCCGACCCTGGATTCAGCAGCCTGGGGCTCCTCTAGCGGGTGGCTGGCCCCCCGGGAGGCCAGAGGAGGTAGGGAAGCCAGGAGAGGTTCAGATCCACCCAACCTTCAGGCTAGGTGGGACTCCTGAGCCTGAGGGCTGAAGAGAGAAGGTTTCACTTCCTGGTATTACAGGAGAGAAGGGAAGTGGAGGCTGGAACTCCAGGGTCTGAGGAGGAGGAGCCTGGAGAACCAGGCTAGTCTGGGAGGAGGGGAGGGTGAGAGGCTAGGAGTTTGGGTGTCGGGTATAGGAGAGGCTGGGTCCCCACACTCCCGAACTAGAGGGAAAAGGAAGTTGAAGGCTGGACTCCTCTGCCCTGGAGTAGGAGGGGTCCACATTTGAGTCCCTGGGGATGGGATCGAGGGCTGTGGACCCCTGGGTTCAGGTGAAGTAGAGGCTGGCACTTGGACTCCTGGGTCTGAGGGAGGAGGGCCTGGGGCCTGGACTCCTGGGTCCGAGGGAGGAGGGGCTGTGCCTGAACTCCTGGGTCTGAGGGAGGAGGGCCTGGGGCCTGGACTCCTGGGTCCCAGGGAGGAGGGGCTGTGCCTGAACTCCTGGGTCTGAGGGAGGAGGGGCCGGGGGTCTGGACTCCTGGGGCTGGGGGAGGAGGGGCTGTCCCTGAACTCCTGGGTCTGAGGGAGGAGGGGCCGGGGGTCTGGACTCCTGGGTCCGAGGGAGGAGGGGCTGGGGCCTGGACTCCTGGGTCCGAGAGAGGAGGGGCTGGGGCCTGGACTCCTGGGTCCGAGGGAGGAGGGGCCTGGGGCCTGGTTTTCTGGTCTGAGGGAGGAGAAGATTGGGCCCAGACTCTTGAGTCTTGCCAGCCAGCTTCCCCTCCCCAGGCCGGGCTCTGTCCTCTGTGCTGAACGAACTGCCCAGTGCTGCTACACTTCGGTATCGAGGCCCTGGGATGCTGCCTTGGGGGACGCCAGAGGAGGAGGAGGAGGAGGATGGAGGAAGGAGCAGGCAGGCCTTTGCAGAAGCCACCCAGACAGAGCTGCAGGACCCTCACCCTTCCCGGGAACTGCCCTGGCCCATGCAGGCCAGACGGGCACACAGGTGAGGCGCCACCTCCCGCTGGGACCCATCCAGCCCAGGTTGTGCGCTTCTCCCACACCTCGGACCCTGTCTCTTCCCTCTGTTCTCTGCGGCTCCTGGTTTCTGGGGCCTCTGTCTGCCCCGGACAGAGCTGCCCCTCTTGGTTTCTTTCTTCCCCTCATCTTTGTCTCTGCTTCAGATTCCGAATGAGTACTTCCTTTCGGTGACTCTGGGGTCCTCTCTCTCTGGGATTCACTGTCACCCATGTCTCTCCAGTCCTGCCTCTGCTTCTCAGTTTCTCCCTGTGCATGTCTGAAATCTGCTTATTTATTTGTCTCTGCTTTATGCCTTCACCTTCCCCACTTCTTCAAAGCCGCTCTCTCTTTCCCACTGCCTGCTTTGCAGCACCTGGTGAACAATGAGAATGCCGGTGTCCTCATTCAAAAATGATTATGGGCCTGGCGCGGTGGCTCCTGCCTGCAATGTTAGCACTTTGGGAGGGCAAGGCAAGTGGATCACCTGAGCTCAGGAGCTCGAGCCCATCCTGGCTAACATGGTGAAACTCCTTCTCTGCTAAAAATACAAATAAATTAGCCGGGTGTGGTGGCGCACACCTGTAGTCCCAGCTACTCGGGAGGCTGAGGAAGGAGAATCCCTTGAACCTGGGAGGCGGAGGTCACAGTGAGCAGAGATTGCTCCATTGCACTCCAGCCTAGGCAACAAAATTAGACTCTGTCTCTAAAAATCAGATACTTTATTACAATAAAAATCTAAAGAGGCTGGGCACAGTGGCTCACAGCTGCAATCCCAGCACCTTGGGAGGCCAAGGCAGGTGGATCACAAGGTCAGGAGTTCAAAACCAGCCTGGCAGGCCGGGCACAGTGGCTCACGCCTATAATCCCAGCACTTTGGGAGGCCGAGGCGGGTGGATCACGAGGTCAAGAAATCAAGACCATCCTGGCCAACATAGTGAAACCCTGTCTCTACTAAAAATATTTGTAAAAATTAGCTGGGCATGGTGGTGCGTGCCTGTAGTCCCAGCTACTCGGGAGGCTGAGGCAGGAGAATTGCCTGAACCCAGGAGGCGGAGGTTGCAGTGAGCCGAGATCGTGCCATTGCACTCCAGCCTGGGTAACAAGAGCGAAACTCTGTCTCAAAAAACAAAAAACAAAACCAGCCTGGCCAAGATGGTGAAACCTCATTTCTACTAACAATACAAAAATTAGCTGGTGGAGTGGTGGTCACCTGTAATCCCAGCTACTTGGGAGGCTGAGGCAAAGAATTGCTTGAACCTGGGAGGCAGAGGTTGCAGTGAGCTTAAAGCGCGCCATTGCACTCCAGCCTGGGCAAGAGTGAGACTCCATCTCTAAAAAACAAACAAAAAACCAGGCCGGACACAGTGCCTCAGGCCTATAATCCCAGCACTTTGGGAGGCCGAGGCAGGCAAATCACCTGACTCTTCAGGAGTTTGAGACCAGTCGGGCCAACCTGGTGAAACCATGTTTCTACTAGAAATACAAAAATCAGCTGGGCGTGGTGGGTGGTGCCTGTAATCCCTGCTACCTGGGAGGCCGAGGCAGAAGAGTCACTTGAACCCGGGAGGCGGAGGTTGCAGTGAGCCAAGATTGAGCTATTGCACTCCAGCCTGGGTGCCAAGGACGAAATGCCATCTCAAATAATAATAATGATGTGACCAGGCGTGGTGGCTCACGCCTGTAATCCAAGCCCTTTAGAGGCCAAGGCGGGTGGATCACCTGAGGTCTAGAGCTCAAGAGCAGCCTGACCAACATCATGAAACCCTGTCTTTAAAAAATACTACTAATAATAATGGTAATAATACAGGAGGATGTGTGTATTGCAGATGCCAATACTGTACTGTTTTACATAAGGAATTTGGGCATCTACAGATTTCAGTATTCTTGGGAGTTCGTGAACTAACCCCCCATGGATACTGAGGTACAACTGCATTCATAAAATGAGAACCCAGCTAAACTCCAGCTAGGGCAGGACACGGCGTGACAGCACCTTGCATGCCCCTCCTCTGATGTCCCCTTTCTCCTCACAAGGACAAGGTAACCCTTTCTCCCTAACCTTTTTTTTTTTTTGAGATGGTTTCGCGCTTGTTACCCAGGCTGGAGTGCAATGGCGCAATCTCGGCTCACCGCAACCTCCGCCTCCTGGGTTCAGGCAATTCTCCTGCCTCAGCCTCCTGAGTAGCTGGGATTACAGGTACGCACCACCATGCCCAGCTAATTTTTGTATTTTTAGTAGAGATGGGGTTTCACCATGTCGACCAGGATGGTCTCGATCTCTTGACCTCGTGATCCACCCGCCTCAGCCTCCCAAAGTGCTGGGATTACAGGAGTGAGCCACCACGCCTAACACATTTTTTTTTTTTTGAGACGGTCTTGTTCTGTCACCCAGACTGGAGTGCAGTGGTGCCATCTCAGTTCACTGCAACCTTGGCCTCCCAGGTTGAAGCAATTCTCCTGCCTCAGCCTCCTGAGTAGCTGGGATTACAGGTTCCCGCCACCCAGCAATTTTTTTTTTTTGGTATTTTTAGTAGAGATGATATTTCACCATGTTGGTCAGGCTGGTCTCGAACTCCTGACTTCAGGTGATCCACCTTCCGTAGCCTCCCAAACTGCTGGGATTACAGGCATTAAGTCACCGTGCCCATCTGGTTGGTTTGTTTCTTTTTTATTGCTACAGAGTATTCTACCCTATGTATAGGCCACACTTCACTTCTCTGATCTGTTGAGTTGTTTCTACATCCGGGTGGTTCCCAGTCTGGGGCTGCGAAACCTCTCATTTTCTGCCTGTTTCCCTCCCAGGCAAAGCTACTCCAGGGAACAGTTGGTCCATGGCTCTGGATCTAGGATGGATCAATGGGCACGGCTGCTTCGGAGGCCCAAGGAGAAAACAAAGGAAGGCTTGCGGCGCCTGCAGCCCTGGGCATGGACACTGAAGAGGATCGGGGGTGCGGCGGTGGTGGGGTGGTGTCCTGGGGCAGGGCCTGGACTCCAGAATGCGAGGGAAGAGGGGCCTGGGCTGTGGACTTTTGGGTCTGAGGGTGAAGGGACTGGGGTCCTGGACTCCTGGGTCTGAGGGAGGAGGGGCTTCGACCTAGATTTTTGGGTCTGAGGGAGGAGGGGCTGGGGTCTGGATTCTGGGTCTGAGGGAGGAGGGGCTGGGGTCTGGATTCTGGGTCTGAGGGAGGAGGGGCTGGGGGCCTGGACTCCAGTCTGAGAAAGGCGCTGCAGAGCCGGGCGCGGTGGCTCACGCCTGTAATCCCAGCACTTTGGGAGGTCGAGGCAGGTGGATCACCTGAAGTCGGTAAAACCCAGTCTCTACTAAAAATACAAAAGTTAGCCAGGTGTGGTGGCATGCACCTGTAATCCTAGCTACTCGGGAGGCTGAGGCAGGAGAATCGCTTGAACCGAGAGGCGGGGGGTGCAGTGAGCTGAGATCCGGCCACTGCACTCCAGCCTGGGCGGCGGAGAGACTCTGCGTCTCAAAAATAAATAAATAAATTAAAAATAAATAAAGAACAAAAGAAAAAGGCGGCGCCCCTGGGCCCCCAGTCCCGGGGTGGAGGGGCTGGTCCTGCTCCCAGAAAGGAACCTGAGCCTCTCTCTCTG